TTTCAAGTCCGACAATGAGGACTGGACGGGATTTCAAGTCCGCGCAATTAGTTCCAGTCCGAGGCGCAGCCGAGGACTGGAACTAATTGCAAGGACTTGAAATCCTGTCCAGTCCGAATTGGAGGACTTGGAACGACTTCAAATCCTCATTAATTATTCGGGAGGAGAAAAGGGCCGAAAAATATTAAAAGTCTATAGGAATATATTGGTTATATTTGCTCCTTCATGCAGGATTTCATATTTACATCATTGAGCACTATTTATTGTTCTTCAATCCCCATTTGGGCATTTGAAACAAAAGCTATTCAAATTCCCTGTCTGCTATTCATTTTAATCCTAATGAACTTATTCATAACATTTAAAATCATTTTATCTTCCGAGATTTTTCATCGGATAGTGAGTGGTGTAATGGTTTAAGGCGGAGGGCATAGATCAGAAGGTTGGGAGTTCGAATCTCAAGATGAAATTTATCATAGATTTTTTTCACTAAATTCTAAACTTAGTTTACTATTTCTACTTGTTTAAAAGAACTTCAATAACTTGGACTTTGAAATTATCTGAGAAATTAAATCAGCTTGGAGAAACTGGAACAAAATTAATTCAGTACGGAGTAACTGGAACAAAATTAAGTAACAATGCGCTAAAGAACTAGGGAACTCTCTATTGTTCTGCGGCATAGCAAGTTCCCCATGTACGAATGTCTTGGTTTTCACACTGATTATTTATCCATGTGTGGGTAACACATTTTTGAAATAAAATGTGGATAAACTCTATTTGGAAACAAAGTTTCTTTTGTATTAAAAACTCTTATCCAATCATAAGCACTCAAAACAATAGCCAAAAGATGCTTCTAATTTGCTATGTTCCCCATATAGAATTGCCTTAATATTGAAGCTAAAGAAAGCTTTCATGAAAGCGAAAACAGACATTAAATAAAATATCAGAAAATTCGCTAACTTGTGAAATTATAGCAGATTTTCATGTTTTAACCAATGGGATGGATGGATTATACAATGCGCAATTAGCATCTTCTTGCATTCCTGTGCCGTTTGCTTCCCTAGTTCTTACTCAGGGCATTACTTAATTCAGTACCGATTTCCAGTTACTGCACGTGGTATGAATTACGAACAAGGATTGGCTAGATACCTCGTGAATAATTAATGAGTATTTGAATGATCATTCTTGGTCATTGTAGATTTATATTTTTAATAGAATAGATTATCCTAGAATTCATAAAAAATAGAGCTAATTTGCACTTTAAGATTCACTGATTCACAACCAATAACAGGGAATGAAACCCTGTATTGAGTCTAAAATTATACTAAATATTCAACTTACTTCAGTTGAACATCAAGAACTTTTTCCATAAACTTCTCTGAAATTTTGAATTCACGCTGGCCATGAAGCATGAGTCCAATATTGCTCTGAAATACAATGTAGTGTTATTGAATAATGTGAAAATTACAATATTTATTGACAACAAGGACTGAAACAGTGTTTTACTTGCTTAAAACAAGAATTTTGAATGAGGAAAAATTAGTTGGAAATTAATATAAAAAGAGCTGCTGTTTTTTCATTTTTATGACTTCGCCAACTGATTTTGTGCCCAAACGAGTAGCTAATCCATGCTGATTTAGCATCAAAAGTAAGTACGATGAAACCAAAGTTGTGACCAAGCTGATTCAGACAAAAATAATATATTATCACTACCTATATTTTACATCTAGTTTTTAAAAGTAAAAATACAAACATTTCTAATTACTACTACAGCTAATTACTCCCAAACCCAGCTAAATGAAAAGCACTAAATGATTGCAAAGCATTCTTCGTATAACTTTATACTTACATCAAATGTTGACATGTCTGGGTGACCTTCTCCAAATATCAACAAAGCCAAGTACCTGACGCGATACATCAGTTTGAGGGCAGCAGATACCATTCCGCAATTATGACAATAAAGAGCCAAGTGAACCTGGTGAAAACATTGTTATAAATAAAACAGAAAAATGTAGTGGAAATAAGTGATTATGCTTCCAGCTGGGAAGCGCTAAAATAATGTACTGTTTACTGTTCCTYTTGTACCTTTGGACTGGGGTTGGGTATGTAAAATCACAAAAATTGGTCCCTTGCCTTCCCTTATACGCATTTCCAAGGGTCAAAATTTCCTCCTCACACTGCTACTTGAGGTTGTTAGCTCCCCAACCCGAAAATATGCTCTGTTGTCCATGATGTACGTTGACATCAGTGGACATTCTTCCCCGGGGGCGGGGACTCCCTAATATCAAAGGGCAGGGGTCCTCGGCGGAGATTGTGAAAATGACCCCTAAAAGGGACCTCTATTGTGAGATGATGGGCGTGGCAGTGCTGAAATTTCAACCCTAAAAGGGACCAATCAATAACAGGTCATTTTGTTTTGGTTTACCGATTTTATTTGTGTTTTTACACAATCATCGAACACCGAGTTTATGACGACGTTGCCATTTTATGACTGCTTAGGGTCGCCGTATACCCTAAAAGGGACCACAAAACTCAGTTGGTAGGAATTCCTGTCATGATCACCCTAAACGGGACCAAAATACTGATTTCAAACCCTAAAAGGGACGCCRAGGACCCCCGCCCTTTGATATTAGGGAGTCCCTTCCCCGGGCATTCTTCACACACTCTCAATTATACCCTCCACTGATTTTGTTATAATTCAATAGAAGTACAAAGATAATAATTTAGATATTTGTGTATTAAAGAATAATAAAAAAAAGTCCGAAAAATACCAAATATCTCCAATATCTCTTTTATAATGACTATAGTGTATACACACCTAATTTAGGGCAAATAATTAGTACACTATTGTATGTAAGTGCCTTTTGCAGCTGGGGATCACATTACCACACCTACCTTAAAWCAATCAGCTATCAAAAAATGATGTTCAGAAATGGAAAGAGGGGATCAAAATTAGAGTAAGAAGACAGAAATATTTCAAAATTGATAGCAAATATAAAATCATTTTATTCCCTAAAGAAACATATGTAAAAACACAACTGGAGAGCAAGGTTTRCTCAAGTACTTTAGAAAATTCAATATTTTACATTTGCTATCATTTTTGAAGTATTTAGAGTTGAGACTTTGCCATTTTACGAACATAAACCTGCTCTTTCTATTTCTGAACATCATTTTTTGATGGCTGATTGATTTGTGTGGTCACCTGACCCCCAACTGCAAAGAGCCTATTAGGTGTATACTTACATATGCAATGATGGTATCAGGATGATCAATTCCATGGACACGTTCACATACGATCACTGCCTTCTTCTGATAGGCAACAGCCTAGAATTGAATTAGAATTGACAATAAATAATTCAACTCCAATTACAGTTAGAAACCCATTGTAATATCAGTCCATAGTTTGTTGTCCACTATTAGTCATGCATCACTCATTTATTTTCTAGGTGATCTGAAAAGTACATGTAAGTTACTTTTTTACAATTTCTTCTTGAATTAATGTTTCAATTTATATTATTTTTATAATTTACAAAATTTTATGTGATAGACTTTACACACAGGGTATTCTCTTGCCCCATACTTCCTTATAGGTCTTAATTTGTTGAATTTTCCTTAAATCCAAAATTTTGTACTAAAGTTGCATTTACTAAAAAAAGACTTGATAATTGCAGACAGGATTTTAACTCTAATGTCACTGATATGRTATTGGCCATCTTAGTTTAGTTTCCTTTTGGGGATTTAGTAACAATTATCAAACATTACATTGTGATTCAAGATTCAAATTCATTCTGTTTATAGTATTCTCTTACAATACCCTTAATATACTGATTATTTCTAGTTCCAATCAATCAATCAACAGAATCAATGCCAAATGAATTGAACAGACTTTATTTGGTACAATTACAAAGACTCAAACAGTAATGACACCAACAAAAACCTTAGCCGTACCTGCACAGCATCATCTGCCAAATAGTGCAATCTTGCTATTGATCTGRAAAAAAGGGGTTCTTCTGTCAACTCTAAATAATATACAGTCTCACCCCACAAATAAACATGGAAAGCATTTCAATGAGATAATAATAAACAGATGGTTAAGTGGAGAAATGTATTATCTGATAAAATTTTGCAATGGCTGTAAAAAGGACATAATTATTATGTTCTGCATAATCAGTGAATATGAGCTTGTCACCAGAAACAATTGTTTCTTCCTAATGTGTCAGATCTTTTTATGATATTATTTTATTGAGAAATTACAGGGGGTCTTCGCTTTCCAGATCTGGAAAACAAAGACTCAGACAAAATTACTACTTCTATATATGGCATGAATATTGATATAATTCTCGGGAAAATAATGTCAAACGTCTATATTCTTATTGCAATCATTTCTTCCTAATGTGTCGTATCTTTTTATGACATTTTATTGAGTAATCACACGRGGTCTTCCCTTTCCAGATCTGGAAAACGTAGACCCCTGAAAAAATTCGTTTTATTAAACTTCTATATGGCATGAATATTGCACAAATCAAAGATGTCGATTGTAAGATGTAGACACGATTATTCATTCTATTTTGACTAATTAGCTAAGGGTCTATCCAAGAGAATTTTACTTTAATGGTGCATACGACAATGATATTGCACAACTCTATCAATATCCCGATCATCAAGTCTGTTCTCTTGTAACGTCTGAAATTAAGGATCACACAGTGAAATTAAAGATTCTAATATAAATCTGTTCTCGTCACCATTTCTTTATTGTTGTATTTATGCAAATTTTTATATCTATTTACCATTTATATYTTCTATCTATCTATCATCATATTTCTAGTGTTACTTATAATGTAATATGCACATAATTATATTATATTGTAGTTTATATTGTTATGCTCAAGGCTCCCATTGATAACAGATTGCTTTTTGCATCTGATGGGGCTACCCTGAGCGGTATAAGTTAATAAAGGTTTATCTATCTTATTTATCTGTTAACAGTTTTTTGAAGGTTCTTCGTTTCTTTAAAACCCCATATGAGTTTTTCATAAAAAGATATGACACATTGCGAAACGGTTGCAGTAAGAATAAAGACAATAAAAAAAAAACAGTGAATAAAAATATTTTTCACTAGCTTATTCAGTTTTTTTGTTTTATTACACAGTTTTTATTACGGAGTGTCTAAACGTCAGGCAGTCAAATTTTTTCTTTAAAAATCGTCGGAACAACCTTAATGTCAATTAATACAACAGGGGAAATGCAATAAAGACCGAAATAATACTGTTCGACAAGTTTCAAACACAAGCACGGCACTTTGAGATTTTTCGACTGCCTGAGGTTTAGTCCCAGAACTAAACGTCAGGCAGTCGAATTTTTTTAAAAAAATCGTCAGAACAACAGTAATTTCAATTCAATACTACAAGAGAAATGTAATWAAGACTGAAATAATACTGTTCGACAAGTTTGTATACACAAACATGCGGCACTTTTTAGTCCCAGAACTAAACGTCAGGCAGTCAAATTTTTGAAAAATACAGCTGACCTACCAGAGTTGTGAAAGTGAAATGTTCTAACCCTTTGTGTATCAGACCATCCCCCTTCAACCATTACCACAACAATTTATCATTGTCCCAGCAGCCTATAATTAGACCATTGTTTCTTCATTTTGAAGGGATAATTATTAGGATATTTGATRGGCAGTTAATGATAAAAATAATTGGT